CAAGAGTAGGTTTTGTACACCCAGATAAGACCCTTGGTTTTTATTTGCTCATTTTCCATCTTTAGATAAAGCTTCGCTGATCCAGGGCTGTATGTCACTCCACACTGACACACACCCATCGCCAGGCTACAGCCTGTTAGGACAAACGCTCATCTCAGTTAACGCCATTATCCGCCATGACTTTGATCATCGGGGTGCCGATAGTGTAGTGGTTAACGGGTCTGCGTTAACCACTGCGTCGGGGAAACCAGAGATACGGGCTTCGATTCCCCGCGGTGCCCGCCCTTCCTGTCAGGATGAGAGGCGGGCGACGCCATATAGCCTCAGCAGCTGAGTGCGCCGTAAAGCCACAATGACACACTGACTGACCTCCGTTGCTCTTGGGCTTGGAATGCAATGAACGACGCGGCAGCGGCACTGGTGCAGGGGAGGTTTGGCAGGCACTGGCGTTGACACGAGCTGTCTGCCCGTCCCACTGCGCTCTGGGTGGCTGACCAAACAGGTGCTCGTGGGATAAATGTAGGCATCGCAGATATTCGCAAGCAAGTGTCCGTGTGCAAAATGCTCATGGCCGGTAATGCTCGAATCGCAGATGTTTGTGACAACGGAAGCTCGTACATGTAAGTGTTCGTATCGCAGTATCTTTTGATTCGTACCGCAGTTCCGAATATAACCGTTACGAGTTTTAGCAATAACGACCACTCACGCTTCAAACCTTACACATTTCTTTAAAAAACTCACATTTCACAAACCTTTCAAACCAAACCTTTCACATCCGAACATTAGCGTTAAAACACACCTGCGTTACGATCATCTGCCCTTGCACACATTTGTGAACGAACCTGCTGCAAATGTCCACCTGCCTTACGCACATTTGTCATGCCATCTTGTTAGCCAGGTATGTTGCGCCAATGCAATGCAGCGAGCGGCTGGGTTCCCCACACAGTACGCTGCGGGCGGCGCCTGAGGGCACCCCAGCGCCAATCCACGGCGTCCACGGTACTCCAGCGTCGCCTTCGCTCCAGCGGTGACATCTCCAATGGCCGAAGCCAGCCGCCTCACAAAATCGAACAGCATCGTCAAACACAGCGAGCTGCCCGCGGTGATCAAACCAGATGGAATGTCACTTGCGACCAGCGAAAACAGCGTCGGCCCGAAGTGCTTACCCTGAACGCCGCGTGACTGGAGACAATGCAGCGAGGCTTGTCAAACACCAAGCACAGTCCGACAGCCAGTCACGGAGTCCATGGGCATCAGCCCCGCGGCCCAGCTTCTCCGGGGTCAATATGCTGGACGGCATCGGTCCGAGGATCGGGTAGTGTCGTGTTCCGTCGACAAGGCGTGTAACGTTCCGTCGGTGATGTCGTAAAATGTTCGACAAACCCAATGACATCAAACTTGACGAGGTCAACTTCATAGGGCTCCAGTTTGAACCTGCAGTAGCCATTGTGATATCTTCCAATACGCCATTCGTCTGTATAAAAACGGTTCAGGTAGTTGCGATTTCTTAGGGCAGCATGCATGACGTGCTGTCGCCCACAGCCAGGCGGAGGAGCGAGCATCAGAGGAGCCCACTTTCCAGCGGCGGCTACGAGCGCAAAAGGCAAGGTGCACCACGTAAGAAAAACGGTACAGGTCAGCTTAGTGTCCCCGGCCTCTGGCAGGCCGTCTCATGGCGCATTAACAAAATGCATGTTAAAAAGCTCTGCCAAATGGACATTGACAAGAAGGTTTGATGGGTTCATGAGCACATGGGCGCCTGCATGTAGGGCGCGTTACTGTGCGTTCGCAGTGTGACTAGCTCTCGGCTGCAATGCGGTATGGTTTGGTGGGGGTTCAGCTTCACCTAATTTTGGTTGATTGATCGCAGAGATAGAGATTGCGCATCACTAGGACTTACCGATACGAATGATACATACATGCCGGTGCTAAAGACCCCGGGACGCTTGTCATGTCTCTAAGCTTGTTTTGCGCAGTGATTTAAATCATACTATAAGCTCCAAGCATAGCTCTACGGAAGGACTTGGGCGAGGCATTTCTATCGCGGATGGAACCATTGTCCGGGCTTTGGTTCTTGTCTGGTGTTACTCAGTGCTGAGAAGGACTGGATGATGCTTGGCTTCCAGGCGCGTACGTGCCACAGCCCGAATTTCCTCACCAGAATTGCTGGGATTCGAATCGGAGTCCTCTTATTGCCAATCTAGTAGGCTACCAACTGAGTTAATCAGGAAGGACAGAATTTGTGAAGTTTTTCTCGGTTAACTCAGTCGGCAGAGCCATGGGTGTCGATTTTCATCCATTTGTGAGAGCCATGCCCCCTTCCAATGTTGAATTTGGCCCCCAATGTTGGCTTGGCCCCCAAAGCCAACAATCGGGAGCTGGAATATAAAAGTGTGTAAAAGATCATCACAACACAAAGACTATCACCTTTGATCTTTCTGCGTAGTGGCGTCTTGTACCGCTCTCATAACAAAAAGGCATGGCTGCTCTCACCACAAGATATAAATCGTAACAGCTGAGCAGAAAAATGATGCATTAAACTTCACGTACCTACTGCCATAAGACACGCAACGGCTATGGGATTAAAGTGGAAAGCTGTGGAATATGGGGATGACCTAAGTCCTTCATGATGAACTATTGGAGCTGCAGCAGCCTAATCATCGGACTGCCTTCTGAAAGAGTGTTGTTCATTGGAACATATTGAAACAATCTTTACTATGATGTTTCAGATTCACTTGTAACTATCTGCATCACGGGTGTCGATTTGCATTCTTTTGTGAGGGGCCTGCCTCCCCCCCCATGTTGGCTTTGCCCCCCCCCCCCAAGTTTTTGGCTAGAATATTACAAAAACCTGGGTAAAAGATGTTTACAACACAAAGATTACCTTCTTTGATATTTCTGCGTGGTGGCGTCATATTTGTTTCTACCATGGAGTTAACGAACTGCAGTCATTCCAACCTCACTGCGTTTGTGTAGTCCGTTAGACAGATTAAGGATTTTTAGCACACGTCGCCGTTGCTTGAATGGCTGGCAAGCAGTTGGAGACTAAGGCATCCTGGAACTGTTCGTGGCTCACCTAAACTGTGTGATGTTCGCTTTTGGCACGAAAGCAACCAATAGAAAACAAAAAACAAAGGTTTGTGATGTGCACACGTGAACTTGACCTCATATTTTGGGGGTCAACCGTACTGTGAACGGCTCGGTCACAGCAGTTCAGTATGCAAGAGGCAGTCACTCATGCCGCGCGTCAGGTTACAGGATACCACCGTGGACACCCTGCACGTGTTCGTACGCGTTACAGGCAATTGTTTCAGCGTATCAACAGTCAGCGATGACCAAGCGAAATCTCCTGCCATCGAGTCCGATCTGAGAAGGCAGGGCTCCAGATGCCGGCCGGGGTCAAACAAGCGCAAGGCGCTCGAGCTCCCAGGCTTCAACCAGTCAGCACGAGTAGGCCATCCTAGACTGCCTACGCTCCAAATCGCTCGCGATCCTCCCGACCGCCAGGACAAACGGCGGTGTGTTAAGTTTCGTCGAAACGCTTCAAACCAGTCACGATGGCGGTGAGGCACAGCTGGAGTAATGTTGGACGACATTTGGCACTCCCTTACGAAGGGCTGTTTCGCGGAAACATGAATTGAACGTAACCGAAAAGTCTTGCAAAGGTGAGAATGACAAAAAAGAAATGGTGCACAACACGTCAGGTGTAGCGGCACGTACGCACGCCAAACTATCGCGCGTAAGTTAGCTTCATTTTACACATTAGCTGGGATGGGAAGTGCTCTTTGCCCTGGAAAAGGCTATCACGATGAAGCAGATAACATTTTTATTTTAAAAAACTTGATCCACATGTATATAATTATTTAAGTCCCGAAACAGAAGCAGTCGGATGACAAGCAAAACATTACAGAGTGGGTTCTCTTCACCGGTATATTTCCCTACGGCTGTGCCAAGCTGTTTTTGCTGAAACTGACGCACTAAACTTGTCTTCCGCCGTGAGCAGTGCCAAAGAGGCGTGGGTCGTGCGGAGCGCAATGAGCTTCGAATCTCAATGAGCCTCCTTCGCGCAATGCAGTGTAGCGCAGATGGGTTTCGACAGGTGATCGATCCACCTTAGGCGGCAGGCAGCAGGCGGCAGGCGGTCGTCGGACCCGTCGGTCGTCGAGCGACTCGGAATGTCAGCACCGCCGCACCGACGCCCTCCCGGCTCCCGTTTGTCGAAGCAGAATGTATGCATGCTCGCGTGACCTTGGAGCGGCTCGTGGGTCGCTGACACACTCATTGGCAAAGGCAAAGAATGCCACAGCTTGCGCCGTCCGAGGAATCAGCCAACTCAAACCCAACCCGCCAAAGGGTCTTGCGAAGCTAAACGGACCAGCAACTAAGCATCATGTACGTGGGAAAGTACGCACTTCAACGAAATGCCAATGTGCAACCGCATTCTGTCTCGTTTTCCCCGTGTCCGCAGTATTTCCTGTGACTGAGGACTGGGCACAGAACAATACAGCGCTCCCTTCGTGTCATTTGCCGCATGTCGCAGCAGTGATGCTGACCGGCCAAACTTTACAACAAACAAAACCAAAACCAAAAAAACATGAGGGTGTAAAGGTGGTGAGCATTCCACCTTTCCATGATGCACCATAGATACACCGTTCACTTCTGAAGGTATTACAGGTGCAGCCTCATCCCACTTAAACAGCTGAGCGCGACACATTGTCTAAACAATCGCCCCTCAGTATCAGAAGCCTTCCGAGACATCTCGTCTCGGAAGTCGTCCCGTTCCGCTGCAGAGGGGAGAGCGGCCGCGTCATTGTAACGCTGGCGTATGTGTTGGAGGGGAGGGCACGGGGTAGGGGCAACGGAAGCCAGCGGCGGCTGGACCGGGGCGAGCGACCGGGCGCCACGCCCTTGCACCAGGTGTGGAGCCGCGGCGTCCTATAAAACCGGCCGGCGACCGCCAGACAGCAACAGTCCACTGTCAGCCTCCCACAGAGTCAAACATGAGGACCTTCATCATTGCCGCCCTTGTGGCCGTGGCCGCTGCTGGTCGTCCTGCAGCCGTTCACGGCGGATACGGCGGCGGCTACGGCCGCGCTGACTACTACGAGCCCAGGCCCTACCACTTCCAGTACGCCGTGGACGACCCCCACTACGGTCCCATGATGGCGCAGAGCGAGCAGTCCAACGGTGACGGCGCGGTTGAGGGCTACTACTCGGTCAACCTGCCGGACGGCCGGACCCAGCACGTCAAGTACTACGCCGACCACTACGCCGGCTACAACGCTGAGGTCTCCTACGACGGGTACGCCAACCACCCGGAGCGTCGGGCTAAGGTCGTAGGATACGCCGGAGCTGGTCGTCACTAAAGCACGGTGCGCTGGTCGGAAATGCTCAGTGAAATATTTAACGCAGACAGTATTCAAATTGTGTAAATATTTTTGTCCTACGTGATTCCCACGTTTTCTGTGATTTGTTGTAATGGTTGTGAACCGCTCGAGTGGAATAAAACTGACGATCAATATTTCAATCATGTCACACGATGTAAATAGACTGCGCTCATATAAGCATGGGCCATCGCGTAGTGCGACGAAAAAATCTTTAAATCATTGAAGAGCGCAGACCGCGACAAAATAGGGTGACGCATCCAGAACAAAACTACTATTGAACTAAACGAGGTCTTATCAACTAGGTGACAACACGAAACGTCCTTCAAGGATGCCTGGGCAATGCCCACGTGATGGGCAAGTAATGGGCAATGCGTTCCAAGCATCGAACTCGACGTGGGATGCGCCATATGTAGCAGTATATTGTTTGGAAAAAGAACAGTTAAGCAGAGGGAAGCACTTTCGTGAAGCATGTACCACAAAGGAAATCTTACAGCCCAGGGAAGCCTACATTTTACTGATACTTGGAGTTCATCACTGTGGATGAACGCCAACAGCTGTTTGGCTGAGCTAAATCTGCCTCATCTGCCTGCCGCCGACCAAAGCATGACGCACCTGGCCTCGAGTGACACAGCTCGCACAGCAGCAGCCAACAGTCTGTGGACGCCATGCCCTCGCGTGTTCATTCACCGATTCCTTGGCGATCCATTGAAGGAGTTTCCCGTCTTCAGGATTGGGAGTACCAGCGAATATGTGACGTGCGTCGAAAGGTGTAGCCTCCCTCCTACTTCTTGCACTTTCGAGCCATCACGCTGCAGTACGCTACCGCTCCTTTCAACTTGGGCCGGATAATGGGTGACCAGTATACACATCTTGTATCTTTTGGAGCATTGTTTACTACACAGCCTTACAATGCACACAGTGCGATCGCAAATTACTCCAAAGGGTCTAACTGCCCCAAAGGGTGGTTAATCATCGTCCAGTAACGCACCGTGTCTAGATGGTATTACCACAGGATCGGTATCAGTTATCAGGCATTGATACATACTGACACAGCAACAGTATCGATCCAAGGCAGAAGTAGATGAGATAAAGCTCCGTATGCGTTACGCGTCCTTCGCCAACTTTATTCGTTTCATCGCCTTCGGCAGCTTCGTAGCATTTGAATGGGCATGCGACGACGCATTGCAAATTCTGCACGCGAGACGACAAGAGAAAAAAGAGGTGGCACGCTATCCGCACGTTTTTTTTGTGGTCAATTTGCAATTTCTGCTGCTTGTGCGGTGGGCATTTCGCCTCCCCCGGCAGCAAAGGCGCGTTCTTGGTTCCTTGTGCAATATTCTACAAAACAGTGGAGAAATATTTCGTGAGAAAAGACAAAAAAAGGAGATGGGATGCTGGTCTATGTAAGGCAGAAAATAAAATACGAACTTGCAGACGGTCTGGAGAAAAGTGAAGGTGTAGAATCCCTTTGGATCGATTCGATTATGCGTAAGGGCAACAAATTACGTGTTGGGGCTTTCTATAGACCTCGAAACAGCTGCCAAGATGTGAACACATATGTGAGAAAATCGGCCGAGGTGTGAGTGGAAAATGAAAAAAAGGAGACTGTGGGCGACCTCCCCGGTAACAGGCAAAATTTGACAGAAGGCAGTCGTGTGGATTTGACGGTGACCGTGGGTGGCAAGAGATAGCTTGAAGAAAATCAAGATTTATAATAAAGCCCGACCTGACCAAACATATTGCAGAGTGCGGAATTAATGCGCTAGTGCTCTAGGTCATCCTCTTATGCTAATGTTCAATAAGTCACTGCGTTGTTGGGAAGTACCCTGCGACTAGCGCAATTCCAATGTAGTGCCAACATTTAAGAAGGGGACTGAAAAAAGCGTCGGCAACCACAGGCCTGTCAGCCTTACCTCACTAGTGTGTGAGATCTTAGAGAAATTTATCAAGGTTCATTCAGATACGTTAAGATAGCTATCATTTGATGAATAGTATTAGTAAGCATGGTTTTTTCTTCAGGTAGGTCATGGGTGACAAATGTTGTGGAGTTCATGGAGCATGTTA